AAAACAAGACACAGATATTTTACAAAGAGAATTAGATGAATTACAGAAATGGGAATCAAATTGGAGCATGTCTTTCCACCCAGAAAAATGTCAGTTGTTAAGAGTAACAAAAAAACTAAAACAAATTAATTCCACTTATCTTATTCATGGCAAACCAGTAACACAGACTAAAAACTCAAAATACCTAGGTGTTATAATAAATGAAAAACTGTCATGGAATCCACATATTGATGAAACTATAAAAAAATCCAACAAAGCATTAGGGTTTATTAAAAGAAATTTCTATAAATCAAATAAGAACATAAAACTAAAATGTTATTTAACCTTGGTTAGGCCAATAATAGAATATGCATCCACCGTGTGGGACCCCTCAACTCAAGAAAACATTAAGAAACTGGAACAAACACAAAATAGAGCAGTGAGATTCATAACAAACGAATATTCACATTTGACTAGGGTAACACCATTAGTAAAATCACTAAATTTAGAAAGCCTTCAGGACAGAAGACTCAAAAGTAAAGTAGCAATTATACATAAAACACTGAAACATAATCTTCAAATACAAAAACAAAATTTAATAAAATACTCTGAAAGACACAAAAATAAAGGCACATTCCTCGTCCCATATGCTAGGACAAATTTGTACAAATACTCCTTCTTCCCTAGTGCTATTAGAGCATGGAATGGGTTGCCTGAGCTAGCCAGAAAAACCAGTGACTTGGCAGAATTTAAGTCATTGGTTAATATGCATGACTAAATGCATGACGCGTAGGACGTAATCATCTTCTTTTTTGAAGTAACGTCTGTATTATATAAGATAAGATATTAAATGTTAAGATACACTGAAATGCTCAATTCATACGAGTGCATAGGATGTAATTTTCTTTTTGAAGTAACATCTGTAATATTGTAATATATAAGATTAAAAAAAAGAATAACAATCTAAATATAAATATTGATTCCAGTGTAAATGAAAAATAATACTAAAGTAATAAATACAATATATAAGATAAGATACGATAATTTTTATTGCTCCAATCAAATTGAAATTCAGTTTGACTACAATTTACCACTTCAGCCTAACTAAATAAATATGTATATATATATAAATATATATATATTTGGTAGAACAGCTTACAGCTTCACTTACTAAAGGATCTAATCCATGATATACACACTTTTCTTTTCTATAGTATCTTAATAGATAATCCTATTCATAGAAGGTTTCCTTATCTTAGTCAGTTAGAATTGTTCACATATTGGAAGGTAAAAATCTTAAGTTGAAGTTACTTCTTTTGTTTGGACCTTCTTTGTAACATTCTGCCCTCTTTGAGTGTGCAGTTTTAACTTAAAGAGTAAAATCTTTGTGTTGTAAGTGTATTAAATAAAGCCATTGTTATGAATTATATCACATGTTGATATTAATTATTAAGCTTGAAAGGTTTCACCTGTTATGTGTATGGGGCTTGCTACTAGATATACACCATAGCTTTGAGTGATTGGACGTTTGGCAAACTGTGTACTGAGAGTCAAACTAGGTCTAATAGTAGCATAGAAACATATATATTTCTTTTGAAGAAATTGTCTACTTATTGTAGTCTCATTTATTTATATCTAGATATATTTATTTATTTTTAAAATACCTTAAAAATGAACTAGCAATGAATAAATATACCCCAGACATGTTGTGTGTTTCAAGGCCAATTTTAAAGGTCATCTTTCCTCTTCAAATTCACCAATGTAGACTGATGCAAGTATTAACTCTATCTCTCCATAATTATTAACCATGTCCCGAAGGAATTATTAATTTTTCCCATTTTGTATTTCACTAGCCTGTTAGGATTAAACTTCAGTAATGGTTCTCTTTTAATCAGAAAATTTTATAACTGGTACAGAAAAATGTATACACTTTTTTATATATATATCACAAATTAAAGTTTATTAACCCAAAAATCAAGTTACTTTAATGGGGTGAAATCAACTATCGTAAAATAATCAGGAGAGAAGTAAAAGTAACAAAAAGTAGAGTTTGCCTTTCCGACCTTGCCATCTATGGGGCAGATGAGTTGGGTGGACTTAGGGGTGCCCTAAAAATCCAGAAATAAAAAAAAAAATAAAGTCTTCACAGAGATTCGAACCCAGGACCCCTGGTTCGGAAGTCGAGTGCTTAACCACTCAGCCACCCCGCCCCAAATGAGGAGAGAAAGAGTTAATTAATTCTTCTCTAAAATTTTTATCCACCATTTCATTACTAATGTTGGCTATACAAATTAGGAAAGTAAATGTACATAGTTTTGATTAGACTAGAGAAAAAATGTCCTCACCAAGCAAAAGTCATGTCTCCATATGTGCTTGTCCTAGCTATTTGCAACATTGTATTCAATGATAGCTAGGTCTTTATTTCCAAGCCATCATGCTGACAACTGGAACACCATAATATAATAGCAAAGTCAGGGAGACCTCTTGCCCTCAAAGTGTTTCAATTAACAAAGTTTACCTTTTCAGTGTTTTGTTTGGTCTTTTTTTTACTGTTTGAACATTTTTACCAATATAATGAACTTATGGGTAGAACAAATTTTATAAAAGACTGTAAGGAACCAGAACTATAATCTATAATGATGTTGTAAATGAGATTTTATTTATTTGTTAATTATGATTTTAACTTTGAACCTTTAATCTTCAACATGACAGCTGGTATCACTGAGCCGAAATCTGTTTCACTTGTTCTTTTCTTCTTGGGTCTTTTTTCTTAAATTAAATCTTATTATTGACTCTAGTAATGTATTTGTTTTATTTCAGAAAAGTGCCAAAGAAGATGATAATTTAGATAAAGAGAAAAGGGATCAATTCATTGCCAGAGCACTGGCTGTGAGCAAAAGGTAAAGTTTCTTTGGTTTATCAATCTGATTGGTTAGAAAGGGATATGTGGTGAAATTCCACGTAACCACTAATTAAAATTTTGAAAATTTGTTTCACACCAAGATTAAAACGGGTGCACAGTGGCTGAGTGATTAAGCGCTTGGCTTCCGAACCTGGAGTCCTGGATTTAAATATTGGTGATGGCTGGGGTTTTGAATTTTGAAAAGAAACCCCTTTATAGTAAAAAAGTAAATGTTTATTTTTTGTATCTCTGATACATGAAAATAATATACTTAGCAATAAAAAAAAATAATAATATCTATTTTACTATTATTTAATTGATTTAGCAAACAGTTTTAATAAAATAATATAAGACATAAAAACCAACTTATAAATGCAAACAGTTTAGTCCTATGTTCAACTTGAATGTAGTTAAATGTGGTTTGTCTGAGCTCAATAGGTAGCAAGTTCTAAACTTTGTCTAAGTACTGAAAAGGCTTACAAACCATTAGTTTTGAAGAGAAAACATGGCAAAACTAACCCTTGAAGCACATACTTTAATAACTACTATATGCTAAAAAGCAAGACCCCAGTTTAAGGTAAAAAAAAAAAGCCATTTGAATAATTATAAGAACAGTAAAAATTGCTTGCTGGCAACATGAAAACTCAGGAAACCCACCAAATATCTTTGAGAGAAATGTCCTTGGAAAAAAATTAGGACTAATACAAAGTTAAAAAATGAATGGAGAATATGTGCCAATAAAGAATTACCAGTATATAAAGTATTATCAAGACTCAACAACTGTTACTAAATTTTTAAAAAATGAGAAGACTGCAGAAAATCATCACTCTTAAATATCGTATAGTCAATGAAAAGAATAAATTGTTATATATATATATTAAAGGCTTATGAGTATTACAAAGTTAATTGATCGAAACAGTTTTTGTTTCTGTTCTCAACATTCAAAGATTTAGAATATAGCTCTAAAGTATTGTGGTATCACATGCTTTTTTGTAAATTTATCCTTTCTCTTAAGTTAATTTATTCATCAAGCTAATCTCTAACTTATAATCCTAATTCCGTCAGATCTAGCAATAACTTGAGTCAAATATATTCAGTGTGAAAAAGTATGATAATTATTACTGCACTTGTCTTTTTACTGCTCTATAAATGAGATGAATAGGATTCTTTAAGGAAACATTTTATTTTGTTATTAATAGTAAAGAATTCATAAGAGTTAGGGGTTATAATGAAAGAGCAAAATATTTTAACACAGAAGTGGGAAGCTTGGTTGAGAGGCTAAGTACACTTAAACTTGGCTTGGTTACTTATGAAAAGGGCTCGAGGTTTGACACCCGACTCGAGCAGAGTTGTGTTTGCCGAGCACCTAAAGGCAGCATGGAAAAAAATCTCCCAGATACCCCCTCCCCCCACTGGTCCACAAATGAGATTGGACCATAGCGCTCTGAGCATGCTTTAAGTATGAAAGTAGTGCTATATAAAAGTAAAAGTTATAATTATTATTATTAAGAACCTATTTCTCTTTAGAATGAACAAAGAAATTGCCAAAGCCCAAGAAAAAAGCATTCTATTGAACGAAGAGTTTGGTAATGGCAGAATTACAGAATGGAGAAATGAACATACTGAGGAAGTCCTGTCAAAGCAGCAGCAAGAACCTATGGAATAGGCTTGTTAAGGATATTGACAGCCCTGTGCTCAACTCAATGACTGTGTTTAAACCCTTCAACTGAGTTATTTAGTCTTTATTTGTATTGGTTAATTATTTCTGTTTCTTGATAAACATCTTATCCTCAAAACATATTAACAGGTACTGGGTTGAAACATTTTTATGACCTGTTAAATTTGCAATGATTTCCATTTAGCTTAAAGAACATACATGTCTCCGACATTCACATAAAATTATTGCTTTATTGTTAGCAGTTGCATCATGTGCTTACCAAATGTATATAACATTTGTTTTTTACATTCAATATATATATATATATATATATAGAGAGAGAGAGAGAGATATTATTTTTTGTAAATAGAATGAATGCACTTTAAATGTCGTAAAATTAGAATGTTGACTGAATCAGATGAATATATATATACATATACACATGTATATATCATGTAATAATAAATGAGTGTGTGTTTTTATTTTATTAATGCATTTATGAATATACAGTGTTGATATGGTGTATCTGACATTATTGCTATGCGATCCAATTTTCTGGAAACAAAATGTGCTATTCAAACAAATGACTAAAATTTAGTACACTATTGCTTTAGTAATATCTAATATATTTCTGACAGAAATTAAGAGAAGCATCTTCTTATTACAATTAGTATAACTGCCAAATTATGTTGTTGTTTTTTTTATTTTATTTTAACATATTTTGAATAAAATTATAACTTTACCTATTTTTGTCAAGTTTTTTGTTATATCATTCAAAACATTGGCTCATGCAATCCGTTTTATTCCATGTTTTCAGTAGCTTTTTTGTTTCTTTGGTTATCAATGATATTTATTTGTAAACACAATCAAAGTTCAATTACATAATTTCAATTAAAGTGTTTTGTAGCATTAGACTTTAAGCTAATTTAAACAGAATTTAAAGTTATGTGAAACAAAAATACATTTTACATTTCTTTATTAAATTGTTGCAAAAAAAGTACCAAAATAAAAGTATATATATTCACAAAACAAGTGAAGACTGATATAGATTGCATGTCAAAAAAGATCTATACAAAAAAACAAAGAAAAAAAACAACACTTTTTTTCCCATCCCATTCAGCTCTCCTGTTTTTCTTCAATCAATATATCATCATGTATTCATTATTTTAAAAGCATGTATCAATGAGCAGCCTATAATTCTTTTGGAATTAAAAGTCTTGTTAAGAGCTACATAAAAAAAAAAAGATTGGGCTGCTAGTGCAAATGTTTTATTCTATGTTTTATTCTAATTTTTTTCAATGTCTTAAAATAAATAGTCAAAGCAAGATATACACCCAACAAAAAGAAACCAAAACATAGATTCATGTCTTACATCCTGACATATTTCTTAAATCCCCATATTTAAAGTAAGTAAAGCTATACTTGAAGACTTAGTTAATGAAGGTGTCAAGTGAACACTATAATGATAAGCTGCCTTTACTTTAATCTATCAACTCAGGCCAAGATTTGAGCACAAAAATATACAGTTCAAGAGCTAAGGCTCAACAGCCAAGACACCAGACACCAACGTCTATTTCTTGTATGTACAAACACATGCAAGTTCTCTGTATTTGATCAAAAGGTATAAAAACTATTAGTTTCAATTGTTATAACAACTTTTAATCCTAGTATGCCTCTTTTCTCTTTACTCTCTCTGACTGTCCCAGTCTTAACAGAATGAACCCACTACCTTAGGTCCTAACTCTATGGTAGTTGAGAACCAGCTGCCAATGTCTTATAACATCACTGGTGAGATGATGACTTGGTAACCTTTTCTAAACAGCATGTTACAAGCTTACTAAGTAAAGCTAACCAACAAAAGTCTATATACATGACCTTGTTTCAAAACAAGAAAGAATAACTACATTAACTAATCAACAATACAAATTTGTTCCTCTTAATACAAGAAATCTATTTCTAAACTTGCAACAGGCAACATAAAGTTGTGTTAAAAATTTATAATACAAAACTTTGCATAAATACATATAAATGCAAAATCAGGTGTAACAATCAACCAACCAAGTGCATTTAATACCTCAGAAAAGGTGCTTATATATTGAACCTTTGTTTTTAAAAAAACAATGCAGAATTTTAAAAAGTCATACAAGAATCCAAGCTGTTATGCTATACAGGACATTGCTTTTTTTTCGCTCACAGTTTGTTTTGAGAAAACATGCAGACCAATTTCCTAAATCATTCCATCTCTCTCAATGCCAACAAACCTAAGCTGTTCAGTGGGTCCATACCTGGTAGAATCAAATACAACAAGCTTATAGCAAAATTTATTGTTGCAAATATCAAATATGTCCTGATTATTTAAAGCTCACTACAAAATATACTATTTAATTATTAAAGATTAGAAAAAAAAAAAGGAATGGTGCCTTTTCAATTGGTTTCTATGTAAGCCATAGCTGTTTTGTTAAGTTAATGCTTGATAACATGTTTCATTTTGGAAATAAACAATACATTCCCATGAAAGTATGGTATATATAAGGTATGTGACTTGATGCCTGGTTGTGCAGTTTGCGCACTGGACTGTTGTTAGGACTTATCGATGGTCCAGAGTTCAAACCCTTCCCGCTCCCATCCCCCATCGTCCTATGGGAGGTTTGGACTAGGAACTAAATTATCTTTAACTCTGAAGGAACATCCAAAACATGTAAAACGTTTTACAAACACATCCCATGAAAGTAAGGCTAAATAATATAAGTGACTTGATTCCTATATGTACCATGAAAATAAGATAAGTAACTTGATTCCTATACATCCCATGAAATGGTAAATGATAGAGGGACCAATAAATTGTAAATGATTTTTTGAAGGCCAAATTAAAAAAAAAAAACAACACTTTTATATGGTGAAAACAAAGTAAGATTGAAGATGTATAAAAAAAAAAGGCCAACGTAGGTATATTTCAAAAAGACAAAAATAAAAATAATTTATAAATCTTTCCCTTTGATACTTATGGTTATTGGGGAAAGGGCTGTAAATCATGGTTGTCATGTGACTAAAGCAATTATTCACATGGGCTAGAACAATTATCCACCGTCTTTTCTTCCCAACTTATACCAGGTACTCAATTTTTCAGATTATTTTGAAATAAAAAAATTAAATATATTTTTTTTCTGTCACGACAACCTTAATTCAAGTCATATCCTATACTATTATATTTAAAGGGACAAAACTACAGGATTTAAAGCCACAAAAAAAAAAAAAAAAAACTTGCCTGTAGTCAAAGAAAAGTTCTTCCCCAGCTTGTATTGGACGTTTTGCAAATATACCGATCCGATGATCTCCATTCACCATCATGACTTTTGCATAGCAATTGGGGTTGATGGAATGGTTAGCAAAGCGAATCTTATTGCCTTTTCTAGTAGCATCCACAACAAAATCTAAATCACCACAATATATAAAAATCAGTTTAGCAAAGATAATTAATCAAAGTGATATAACTGTACAGTAGTAAATAAAAAAAACAACAACTTTTACAATCAAATAAAAAAAATATTTTCACTAACACAGCATTTATATAATGTAGAAAAAGTTAAGTATCACTTTCCAATCTTGTGATCCATGGGCCAATGATGTAAATGTCATATGTCCAGCACAATGACCGATGGCCTTTATTTTCCCCAACTTAAGTCAAGTACCCATTAGAGTTGGATGGATTCTAAAAATTCAGAAATTCAAAATCCCATGATTCACTGAGATTTCTCCTCAGCCAGCTGTTTTGCTGCTGAGTTCTAGGCTCACTTGGAGTCTGCGCTAAGAAAAAATAGGTGCTGTTTTTTTCTGCACCTGTTCAACAGTGCCATATAATATAGAGTGTTGGTTATGTTGGGCTGTAGTGGTAATAGAACCAAAGCAAATTATTATGGGGCATTTAAAGAGGGTATGATTCATCATTTCAAAAAGGGGTAGGTGTGTGGGATTTATTCTGCTAAGTTATCGATATTTTAACTCAAGACCCCATAGTTAAGAAGCACAGCCCTTTACCATGCAGCCACCTCAATTCCCACATAATGTAAAGCATACTCTAAATTTTGATTGTTGAATAGATGTGCAATATGGATATGCTGTTGGTTATAAAAAGTCTTTCAATTTTTTTTAAATAAAATTTTTCATGCAAGAAAAGAATGAGAAGAACATTTTCATTCAGACATAACAAAAGTGTCTGCACTCACCATAGTTCAAGTTAAAAAGAAAACTGCACATGTATTTGTCATAGACTTTTCCTCGTCTATCTGCTTCATCCTGACTGATAATCTGTTCAAACAAAACAGGCTGATCAATTTCAAGCAAAACAATCAATTTTGTATTTGTATTTTGGGGTTTTGGCACATCAGCACAATTTAGGCCATGTTGTGCCCGTAATACTTCAAGGGTTACTCTTCCTTCATAACACAAGAGCTAAATTTTATACAGTTAAGTCATTAAAAACAAGGTCTATTCACAGTTAAGATAGAAAAATAGTAAAAATGTATTAATTTAATAAAAATCTGTTGTAAATATTATATGTTCACAATTTCTTTGCCCTTGGTCAAATGGTAATAAAAAGCCATAGAAGTTCTAGTGCTGAAATAAAAATAAGATTAATTTTGAAAATTGAAATGGACTGCCCAACTTTTTGCTAAAGCTGCTAAAAACAAGATTGGGAACATGAACATGTGTAATACAGCTACTCTATAAATAGTGTCATCCCAAATGATTATTTCCTATTAATTAACTTTGGAGAAATATTTAGAGACAATGTTTATTAATATACCTGTACTTTAAATTAACTATCATCTTTTTAACTTGTAAAATTTAGTTGATAAGGATCAAGAAAATGTTGCAATTACCAGATTTAAACTTTCAACAATTGAGAATGAAAATCATTTGTTTCTTTAAAAAAAATATTTACAATTTAACAAAAAAAAAAAAAACATTTAACTACCAGTACAGTATCAACACATTAAAATTAGTCAATAGGATGAAAGTAACTTTAGTGCTGACCATATGTTACAGTTTCCTTTAAAGACTTCTGACCTAAAGACAGATTTAAAGGAGATGGATAGAGCTCATTACAGGCTCTGGCAAGGGTATCACGAGAGCAGAATAATTATTAACTGCCTTTTATTTCTCAAAACAAATGTCAGATAAAAAAGAGATTTACTTGTCCCAGATAAAAAATCTCAACCCTTACTAGGATTTAAACTCAAGTGCATTGATTAGAAAATGAGAACTTTAAAAATTGGTTACCATGCCCCATTTTGTCTTAATAAGAAAAAAAAAAACTGTGACTTACCTCGCCACAGTACTCTGAAATAAACTCATTCTTCTCTGCCGGCTCCTTAAGAAAAATTCCCCAGCCAGCAACATCTGATGGGGCCAGCAGGAGATGCTGAAAACAAAAAGAGAGATAAAATACAACACATTCTAGATGTTATAAATGAGTTCTAGGACATAAGTTGAAAACGTTACTTCTTAGATTGATGATGAACATTAGTCATGTCTAAGCAAGCTTTAACTGAACTGAATTGTTTAGTTTTTTAAATAACATTTTATTAAATTAATGACATTTTTTTCACCAACTATAGTAAATGTAGGCCAAAAAGTTAAAATTTGGAATTTTATTAAGACTTGTCTTTAAGCCAGAAGATTAATGAGTCATGCA